GAAGGAGCGCCCTCTGGCTGCAGAGGGCATGACAAAGATTTGTGAAATTGATATCAGCAGTGAGCTGCATGCTGGTAAAGAAGCAATCTTAGATTATTAAACAGCCTGTTTGCCCTGTTACATAAGGTGTTCTTTCCATTTAACAAGCTTGTTTGCACAGCAACCACAGTCCTGTATCATTTAATTGTGGTTAAGGCTTCAACCATCCCTTAACAGAAAGTGGCCGATTCCAGGTAAGGGTCATGGCATCAGGAACTAATCCCAGAAACACAGAGTGCAGAGCAGTATACACCCCAGATGGAATACACCCACCCCTAAGCATTAATGGACAATTTAGAGACAGGAATTAACTTAGCTACTGTATGTATTAAAAAGGGGGAATGAAACCAGAGAATCCAGATCCTGTGCAAACACAGAATATACAAAACTACAAAGAAGGTGCCACAGTTATAAATTAAAACCAAAACAAAGACCTATGATGCATTAGTACTAAATGCCACACCATCATACTGCCCCTGTTCAGTATGCCATCATGCAAAATATTATATATTTGTAATACACATTACAAAATTTTTCCTTCTGAACTGTAGTTATGGATGCACAATCTTTTTATCTATATCCATGCAGTAAAAATAATTCTATTGATCTCTGCCCTGTTTCAAGCTCACAGGGTAACGTAACAGGTCTGTCACTAAATTTCACATTGCTAGCCTGTCTCATTCCATTCACAGGTTTTCAAAGATTTACACTCTTTTTAAAAAGGCAAAAAAAAATCACAGGAATCAATTATGAAAATAACAGTAAACATATACAATTTTATATTGTCTTTAAAAGTAAACTAGAAGTTTAAAAATGAACCAAAGTCAAGTTTTTATTTCTTGCTTGGATGTCTCTAATGTTTATATAGGTTTCTCATAATACAGAGTGTACATACAGTGCCTCGAAAACATTTTCAGCCCTCTCTGGTGCTCAATTTCTTTTCAATTTTACTGATGCATAGATTGTCTTTTAAATTTATTTAGACTTTGCAAATGTATTTAGACCCTTGCACAATTTTCCCATTTTGTTGTTTGTCATGACACTATGAAGTAAAAATCAATGTATAATCAATATACATTATCTATATTATCTTAGCAGAAACAGAAATAAATAGATAATATGAAAAAAATGGAAAGTCATAACTGTATAAATATTCAATCCATTGGCTTTAAAAACATTTTTTTTATATAAATCACAGAACTAATATTGACTAATATTGTAAGGTCCTTCAAGGAAAGATTCAATCAAAGAGATTTTAAAACAGCTCAAGGATAAAGTTGTATAAAGAAACAGATCAAGATCATTAAAAAAAATGTAAAATCTCTTTGATTTTCAGTTCAGCGTTAAGAAGTGGGAAGCACCTCCTCCAAACCGAGCAGCTGAGCAAGGAGAAAACCAATTCAAGATTCAAATATAATGCCCTTGAATTAATTACATAGTTCAATGGTTTGAGAGTGTTTGTATAAGTCAAAAAGATTTGTCACTCCACAAAGTTAGCCTGTACAGCAGAGTCAAAGCCCCATTTAAAACCCTGAATGGAGTTGGCAGCAAAACATTTAAGTGATAATGCAAACATAAGGCAAATGCTTTTGTGGTCAGACAAGACAAAATTGATTTTTATTTTGTTCTTAACGCAAAGCATTACATTATTACACCACCCACCATAGTGCATCACTCAGACAACACCATCCCTACTGTTGCTAGCAATAAGTTATGGAGATACTTCTACTCAGCAGGGACTGGAAAGCTTGTTGGGTTTGGTTCCATTTGGAAAACCTGTTCAATTACTAAAGACTAAAAACTAGGTCCAAACCACATCTTTCAGCGGGGCAATGACCCCCAAAGCACAAGGTCAAAACTACACTGGATTGGGATAACAAGAAGAAAGTAAATACCCTTGAGTAGCCAGATTAATGTCCTTATTTGAATCTGGAAAAAAAAATCTCTATCAAGAATTGAAAATTGTCTATGAAACATCTACTAGTTATAATCAACATCCTGACAGAGCTTTTGCAAAAAGTGCACCATCTCAGTGTAGCAAAACCTATGAAAAGACTTGTAAGTATTGACACAGGGGGTGAACACCAGTATTTACAGTTTGAATTAATACATTCTCTCTAAAGTATGTGTATAAATAATTTATAATTCAGCAAAATGGGACATAAGAAGACATCTGAAGGAAGTTAATAATTCTGCAAGACACTGTATATATTGTCGTAAGGTATTATATTGTATTATTGTGGTGTTCATGGTTTAATACTGCATCCAAACTGTAAACTTTCTCGTTTGAAGTATACCAATGTATCGGTGTATATTGTCTGTTCTGACTTGTTTCCATTGCGGCCTGAATTATAGTAATTTCGGATACTGCATAGTTGTTAATAAGTTTAAATCATGTAACCTTACATATTAAAAATATAAATGTCCTGTCTATGCACAAACCAGAGGAAAGGAAAAGCACAATACTTTTCCTTAAATTATTTAACAGCTTATCTATAATTACTATTTTTCATTATCTACGTCTTTCCCATTCTTTTTTAGCACGTCGTTACCAAGGAGACGGATTCAACCGAAGAGCCCTTTTGCCGCATTTCCAAAGAAACTACCCAGAATGACTCAAATTACCGCAAGGCATGTTAAGATGCTTGAAGTATTCTGCATTCGTCCATTTTTAGCAGCAATGTCACGTTATTTTTTTATCCGTGTCTATCCATGTTTTATCTTTTAAATTATCTATGATCTTTTGAGGGAACAAGCAAAAAACACAAACTCGTATTACATAAAATTGATTAAACTAAATACATTATAAAATATAAAACGGGATTTTACTCGAGTGGACGATTTGTAATGTTTTATTTAGATTGACAGATAATAATTTATTTGAAACAGTTTTTTTTTTCCCGGCAGTATTTTAAGTATATAAGTAAAATAAAATTAAACTGACCCACTGCCATTGGGTTTCAGTTCCGGCAGTGAAAGTAACCATTTTAAAAATCAATATGTTATAATCCCGTTCACATTGTCCAACTGCCTGAAACTGGACTGTAAATAGACAGCTAGTGTATTGCGATATTAAGTAAAACGGATTGAGAAATGTTTTGGAACTGTAAATGTAATATTATTTATTTTCATAAAAAATGCATGCCATTGTTGAGAGTGTAAATAATAAAACAGCTTCTATCTACACACCGTTTAGGTTATCTGCAATCTGCTTTAAGGATCGAGTACTTGACATTTACTTTATATTTTAAAACTCAACTATTCTCAACCTCAGTGATACAGCGAACATATCCAACACCACGTACAGCGCAGAGTCGAAAACCATCCCGTTTGTCTTTTTTTTCTAAGCAAACTTACCAGACTCCAAGCCAAGCTAATAGCCAAAGGACAGGCACTTTCCTTCTATGACGAAGCAACCAAGGTGCAGTTTCCAGACCGAATCTCCAAAAGCTCATTTTAAGTTTATTTTTAAACTAATATATATATCCCTTTATCCACTTCGCCAACTGTTACAGTGCAATTCTGCTGGGAGCAGGAAAGGTCCGGACAGATGCTTAGATTGATGGCTCAGTCTACCAATCAGTTTATTAGATTATTGCATTAATTATTATTATAGTATTATGCTCCAATAAGGTAAGACGAGTGTCAAAATTTCCTTTACCACTTCAGAAGAGGCAGCTTGCAGCATCTGTTTGAGCTGCTTCAGCAGGTAAAGATCAGGACAATGCTGTGCCATAGGTTCTCGTGGCAATATTCCGCAGCCGCAGCTGAATTGCATGTTTCAGGTGCAACTGAATTACTTGGCATTTCGCGTCTGTTTTAATGACCAAAATACAGAATTAAATTATATTCGATAGCAATTGGAACACCATGGTTATTTTACAACATTTATTTAAACGACATAACATCTTGAATTTTTAATCATATCACGCTTTATAAAATACACGTTTAAAGTCATATTGGCTTCCTTACGAATGTAAATATGAAAAAAAACTCCTCTATTGGACGAAAATATGGTTCCCTTTATTATTGCAATTGTAAATCTCGATCTGCTTCTGCATTATTTTCTTCCCCGGGGAAAATGTAAGACAGTGGAATGATAATAAAAAGCTCATAGTAATGAGTTACAGAAGACATTATGCAAATACGTGCGTTGAGATGTTGTCATGGTGATTCGGTCAATTTGCATTACAGTCCATAACAGGCTGTTTGCAGTTCACCGCTGCAGTATCCTCTCCCATCCAATATAAAGGCATCTACTGTTTGTTGTATATACAGTAGACGTACATTCCAGTATGTAGAATATCATACTATTGTTAACCATAAAAGACTTATGTTCTTTTTTTTCATTTTTATTATTATATTCTTTTAAATCGACAACCTATAATGCTGAAATAAATGTTAGTCCATTAATTTCTCTGTTATTTTAGATTATGAGAACATTGTAAGGTAAACACAGTTTGATTTCTTGAGAAAACATTTTTTATTCTAGAAGTATGAACAGCACTTAAGCATTATTTGAGACATATTCTTTTCCAAGACAATTCATTTCTCTATAAGACATTCCGTGGAAGTGGGTTATCTGAGACATGTTTGCAGAGATTGAATTGCAGAATATCTCATACAGAGCCAACTACACTACTTTCAAGTCCAGACATGCCAAACCGGGAGTATTGTGATTTTCCTCTTTTTGTGTTTGGGTTATTATTTGTTGTACAATTGTCCTGTACACCGAACACATGATTAAGGCCAATGTTGCACCAGGTCAGTCACCCACACAACACTCCACACCACTAAGACTGAAGATAGCCTCTTGAGATGAATATATACCTCAGGCATACCAAATGTGTTCTGTACAGATAATATTGTACACACACACGGATGCTAAATATTGAATATCCAATTTATTGATATACTGTAACATCAATATATGCATAACAAACATACGATAATATATTTGTGAAGTGATCTGTGGTGATACAAATGTCTGATTGTTCACTCATGGATCACAAGGAGATGAATTAAAATATATTAACTACAGTATAAAATATTAAAGAATATTAGAAATCATACATTTTAAATTTTATTCTCAAAGATCCGCTGCCCAGACATCTTTAATGAGTTAAAGTTTCATTGAAAATACAGAACTTGGCTCTGTTAGTCTGTGGTCTGAATTAGCAGCTACCCTGTATGTGTTCTGTGTAGTAAGTGTTCTGGTGTTGAAGATGAGGGTTTGTACAGTATATGTAAGAGAGTGGACTATTGTGTGAAATCAAGTTCAATGTTAGTTTATATTTCTTTTGTTGAGCAGTAATTGAACATGTAAGAAGTGAATGGGAGTGAATGAGTTAGCACTTTTAAATGCATTTTCTTTTGTACTTCACCAGTGGATTGATGGAGGGCTTCTTCAAAAATGTATTTATATAGATTATATATATTTCCAACTGGGTTTTTCATTCATTTGCAGAAAATTTAAAAAGAAGTGGGTATCGCACCAGAGTGTTGTGGCTAGCTCTGGTCCTGGAGCTTATAGTGATTCAACAGAAGCTCCCCTGAGTTTCCTGACTATGATCAAGAGTCAAAATCAGAAAATGTACCACCGGTGCAGGGAGAAGAGAGGGAGCTTTACCCACCTCTAAGACTAAAGTGCCAAAGAGAAATGGCTTGAGCGACATACAGAATCGAAAACATATGGTGTTGTCTTCTCAGCTTCAAAGGTACACTCCTTGTGGATTAATTTTTACCTCGAACATATGCCCATATGCCAACATATGCAAAAGCAAACTGAATACAAAATGTACTTGCAAGAATTACAAACATTGCCCAGGTCTACAGATGCAGCCATTCAAAATGGGTGGGGTATTTCGCGGTATACCCCGGTGGGCGTGTCGCGTTATCACGCAGTATCACGGGGTTATTTGACGTCACGACGGAAAGTATCCGGCATCACCTTGTAAAACCGCCAGGGGGAGCCAATAAAGCTTAACCTCTCATGTACAGCATTTGAGCTTTTAAATTTAAACTGTGTATTACAGCATGTTAATCATCAGTCATTAAAATGTTGGTATATTTTATGAAAGCAAGATTGCTCAGTTGGACAAAATTACACAACCTACCTTTATCAGAAATATTTATGCATCAAAGCCCTTACTGAAGATATCACTAATAGTATTAATAATGAATGACTTTGGACAAGCTGTGTACTCAAAGTATAATTTCTTTAGCACATTTGTACAAGCACTTGGAATCTGTCCAAGCCCTACTTTGTCAGGCATTTTCTTTTACTTCAACAGACATAGAAACTCCCTTGCTTTTACCAGGGCGTTTCATAATTTCTAACTATGAAAATTATTTAAAATGCGACACTTATAATTCAACTAGAGCTCAAAATATCACAAGGAACCTCAAGAGCACAGCAAAGACTGTATTAAAAGATACTTGTATCAGATACATGAGTATCCAGGCTTTTTTATCAACACTTTCTTTTCTGTATACTAGATATTATGGAACCACTTCAGAAGGGTGTCAGCCAGTCAGATTCCAGGAATCGGTACTTTAAATAAAAAATACACACCGGTATTCCATTTCTCCCTAAACATTTTAAGCATCAAAGTATTTAACTAACGTGAAATAGCGTGTGAAAAAGTGGTAGTTTTAAGCTTTTCTGCTAATATAATATGGAATCGCGTATCTAAAGAAATTAATAACGATATGATTATATTCGTGTACTTCGACAGGGCTGTGTAGGGCTGTTTTGCCTCTCTCTTCATGTGACTTCCCTTGTAGCCCACTGGCCTATGTGCCTAATTACCAACTCACAGGTTGTGTGTTCAAATCCAGCTGGCGTTGTGACTTTTCTTTTAACAAACATTTTTTCGAAAAAATAGAATAGCAATATTATGGACAATCAATTGACTTCTATATTTCAAAATATCACAACATGATCGAATCTAAGTCATTTTTGATAACAATGAATAGTCACCTTCTTCCCTTCTGACAACGGTCCCTGCTTCTGCTTCCTGCTTCTATTGTGTGTGTGTGTGGGGGGGGATCCCTTCAGATCTCCCTTCAGATTTAAAAGGTTATTAATCATATCTTTGGTGTTGCATCTTACCAATGCAGCTGATCTTTTGTTGCCTGGGTGTGTCAACTATCACAAAGCTTTAGAGAACCTAACATTTCTATTACCAACAAATTGTAAATTTGTAATAGAGTAAATTTTTATAGAGAAATGGAGGCTGGACAGTATGCGTTACAGTATAAACATTTATATTGATTTAAATCGTGTT